GCTATGTGTAAATTTATTAGGGTTTGGGGGTGGTAACAGTTGCTGTTTTGTATTTCACTCGTTTGGGATTCTTTTTTAAAGGACAATATGAAGTCAGTTTTATAATTAAAATGAGTTTAAGTGGTCATTTTGAATTTTAATGATGAAGGACATTGAGATACAAAAGGCAGCTTTGAAAGTTACAGCAAAGCATGCTCCTTAGTTGAATCCTTTGAATGAAAGAATAATAGCTATTGGATGGTGATGATGAAGGAATAGGAGCTGCTGCTGTTTAATGTATTCTCCACTCTCAGTATATGGATGCAGCCTCCAAATTTTACAAAGAAAATAATCATCGGCACAGCATCTCTGCTCTCCTATTGGTCTTTTTGTAAAGCAGCCTCTTGGGCTTTCTTAGTAAAAATATTTTATTTTAAAATATATCTCTAGATACTTACTCCTGGTAGGCCTGGGGAAATGTAGATTACTTCATGTCGCTTCAAAATTCCTTTCAAAGAAAAGAGTCAAGCTCAGTTTGTGTTTTTGAGATAGAGAAGAGGAGTAGATAAGAGGAAGGAGGAAATCTTAACTTTGCTTTGGCGGGAGAAAAAATATCTTTCAGTCCTTTGTTGACACCACAGCTTCTGCATTAGTCATATGTCCCTTCCTCCTTGGCCATGGGTGGACCAAAGGAATAGCAGCCATGTGCAATTTTATAAAGAAGCAGTGCAAAGAAAAAAACAGCTGATAAAAAAAAAAAAAATGTCATGCTCCTCATCCCCCTAGGTTTTCACAGTTATATTTTTAGATCTATCAATGGTTTCTGGATATTTGGCCTCCTTTTTTGCTTTTTTATTTCACTATTTTTGATGTTATTTTTTTTAAAAAAAGTACTGAATTCTTAGCCCTAATGGTGAGGTAGTATTCAAAGTCTTTTTTTTTTTTTTTTTTTAATGTTATAATGGAAGTCAACTACAATGGGGAAGCTAGTGGGCACAGTTAATACTGATGTTGGAATGAAAAACCTTTACCTACTTGGATTCAAATGGTGGGGGCCTTCGAGTTAACTGCCAATGGAGAGAGTAACAAGAAAAAGAGGGTGCAGGAGCACTCATTATGGAGTAAGTCACTGAATAGCCAAAGATAAAGATTTGTATACCAATTTAATAAAAGGGAAGATTTAAGGCTTTAGAGGAGGGAAGATTTTGATGATGCTTGTTCACAGTTGTTGTTGTTTTTTTTTTTTTTTTTTTTGGAATGTTCTGGTACCCAAAGTCGTATGTTTCCCTGATAGAACTGGGGAGGGGAGTCAGGTATGGTCGCTGACTCTCAAAGCTCTGCCATAGTCAGATAAGGGAAAGTTCACATAAGATTTCTTTTTGCCTCTGCTGTTGGGTTTTTGGTTCCTTCACTGATTTTCTAATATTTGTTTACAGTTTGATGGTTTTCAAAGCATTTTCAAGTATCTCATAGGATTCTCACAGTATTTTGTAGGTAGTCAGGGCAAATACTGTTATTCCCAGTTTATAGGTAAGGAAACTGAGGTTAAGAGAGATTAAGTGTTTGTCCAGAGCCACACAAGTTAATAATGGAGCCAAGATAAGAGATGAAGCTATTCATATCTCTCGCTACATCTTTGGTGTCCAATTTCAGTATTAAAAAATTAAATAATTTATTGTCAATCTATAAATGCTTTAAAGGGGTCAAGATTGAGTAACATTTCATTTGTTTTGTAGGAGAAGATGGTGTAAACTGGTTCATCAGTGATAAAGACGTTGAGGTAAAATCAAATTGTTTTCAAAGTTATGAATAATAGATTACTAATTTCCTTTGATTCGTGGTTTTTTTTTTTCACTTCATTATGATAACTTAAACTTTTTAAAAATAGCAACAGCCCAAGTTCAATTTCAGTATATGGGTGATTGAGTTTTTCAGATGTGTGGTTCAGCCTTGATTCTTGTCAGTCACCATAATGAGTTAGTCCCCTTTCCCTTCTGTTTCTTTATGGTGGTGAGTCTTCTCAACTCTATCGCCGAGTACCACTAAAGATCAACACCGGAAATAACTGCTTCTTCAGTGTAAGGAAATGGTCAGGCTATATTTAGGATGTAGCAGGTGTTTATTAGCCTTAATTGTGGCAGATGGCTAGAAAAGAGAATAATTTTACAACTTGGTAGGAGAAAAGTTTTGAGATAATTAGATTGTGTCTTTTTGGGGCCTACTTGGCCAATTCAGCAGAAGAACTAGTAAAGATGAAAGTTTTTTCAAAGATGGAATTCTACCAAACAAGATAAAAACATGGTTGACATTTACGTATTCCTCTTTAGGTATCCATATAACATGCTTTGCTGTTATTTTCTAGCAAGAATATGGGACAGCTAGAATTGGGTCATTATAGGCAGAATGGATTTTAAAAGGACTCTTTTTGAAGGAGATTATCTCATTCTCTCTTAGAGATTATAATCCAGTTTATAGGCAGTGACCCTGGGCTATTCAAAAGAAAGAATGTATTCAAGTAGCTATGTGATTTTATAACTTTATAAAAGACAAAATCATTTAAAAAAAAACAAAACACCATCCCATAATTAAAAATTTAAGCAAGCTACTCATACAGATATAGAAGTCAGCAATATCTTTGACTCTGAATGCCACCAGAATGTCTAAATGATGTATATCAGGACCTTATTAGAGTTGTCAAGAAAGATACAAAAAACGTGGAACCATATGGAGAAGTATAAAAGAATGGGGAGGGGCAGCAAAAAGTAGAGTTGTCTTTATGGCACCCCCTTTTAGGTTTATATAATTACTTTTAAGAACACAAAGTTCCTTGTTGCTAGGTTCTAAATTAAACGGACTGTGACTGTTAATTCTCTTGAACAGGGTGAAATAATTTTTTTAATTCTTGATTTTTTTTCCCCTTAGGCACAGATAGGTAATAATAGATCAACCGGAAGATGGACCCACCGATACTATACGGCCAACAAAAACGTTACCTGTAGAAATTGTGACAAATGTGGCCATTTGTCAAAAAACTGCCCTTTTCCACAAGTACGTGAAATTTGTAATGTTTCTCTTACCTTGTTAAAATCAGAATCTTAGAGTTGAAATTCAGTAAACTTAGAATTCAAATTTCATGTAATATAGGTGTTAAATTTCTTGTTAATTTTTCATGTAGGTCATAGCCTAGAGTAATAAACAGCAAAGGAAGAACAATAAATTTAGATCCAGAAAAACCTGGAATCAATTTCAGCTTCCCATTAGTAGTTGGACAACTTTAGGCAAATCATTCTATTCTCTGTTGCCTCTCTATTTTCTTGTCTATAAAAAGAAGATTGAATCAGATGATTCTTGAGACCCTTTTCATTCTAAACCTTCTACTCTATGAGACAGTTTGTTGCACTGTGAGATAATTTTTGTTGTTAGAAAATTATAATTTTAGGCATTTATAAATGTTTACTGAGGTAAATTAAACAGATACAGCAACCTTTGGAACAATACAGAACTAAAGCTCTTAGTTGTTCTCTGACACATAATAAGCACTTAACAAACTTTCCTTCTATGACCTACTCCCTCTTCCCAATGATTGTCTTTCAGATATTTGAGACAGCTCTCATGTTTCCTCTTTGTCTTTGCTTCTCCAGGCAAAGCAGCCTCTTTCTATATCTGTTCCTCCTATGACTCAGTTTCCAGATCTTCATCATCCTATTTTCCCTCTCAGACACATTCCACTTTGCCAATGATCTTATAAGACAAGGCATAAGGGATAGATTCTAGCCGATAGTACATGCAGACTAATAAGCCTTTTTGACAACCACAGGATACAGATAGCTTGTGTTAAAGCTCTGATTTCAGACATTTTGTTTGATTTTATAATTATGCTCAAGTTTGACCTGCATTGGGGTCTCAAAATTGGAAATGACTTTTTTAGGGAATTATACAGAAAAAGAAAAATTAATCTTCTATTTTAAGACTGAAATATTTTTCTAACAAGGTTTTCTGTTTGTCTGCCATATAGAAAGTCCGCCCCTGCTGCCTCTGCTCCAAAAGAGGACACCTCCAGTATGCCTGTCCGGCACGCTTTTGCTTAGACTGTTCTTTGCCTATGTCTTCCACTCACAGATGTCTTGAAAGACCTTCCTGGAGAAAACGATGTGACCGATGTGATATGATAGGCCACTATGCCGATGTGAGTATCCTACACATAACTAATTTGTCAGGCTTTGGGGACAATATGCCAATTTGTAACTATCTGTCAGTGTACCTAAAAGAATGTTTACTGTGTAGAGTATATAACGAGAGTCATATCCCTTTGGCCACTGGTCATGTAAAGGAGTCCTCTGATATCTCTGGATAGGGGTCCTACAGAATGGTTTGTCAGGAGGCAACATCAGCAAATATGATAAAACCATACTTGCCCATTTTGCTTAATGTGCTTGCTAAGTAAAAGTTGAAATTATAGAGGTATATAATAAATAACTTGTAAACTTTACCTACTCATGCATACTTAGATGAAAATATATACACACTTAGCAGTTGTGTACAGAGGTCTGTGTGAGGCCTAGTTTGATACTGCTTATTGATGGCTCTTGCTGGTACAACAGTCTTATGGATGAAGGACAAGCCACCAGTACTTTGAACTTGCTTATCTTAGTTCTTTCTTTAGATTTTAAAAAACAAAAGTAAATTAGAAGACATTCTAGTTATTTGTAGCACATTTAATTTTAGCACTTTGTTATTTTGGACATCATTTTGTACAATATATAAATGTCTATGGGGTTCTTCTAGTCACAATTTCGAAGACCAGAAAGGCTATAGAAGTAAATAAATAAAAAAAATAAGAATGTTTTCTCTTTAATTTGTACTTTCCAGAGACTTTTAAATTATGTGTAATTTAAGTATACTTATAGCTTTTGCTCAAAAAATTAATATGGCTTTCTGATGAGATGAATTTCTGATTAAAACAAACGAATATGAATGTGTGGTATATGCGTTTCTTATGCAAGTAATATAACAATTATTGATTGTAATTTTTAAAGGATCTTTTTAAATGAATAAAAATAGGGTTACTGTTTCACACACTGACTTACAACTTGATTTTTTTCCACTTTGGAAAGTTCGTGAATGTGTCTCAGCTCATGAAGACCTACCTTTCTCATGCAGAGTTTTATCCCATTGTATGGATGTACCAGTTTACCCAGCCATTTCTCTACCAATACATTTAGATTTATATTGTTAGCCATTTTTTTAAGCAAACAATACTGCAACAAACATCTTTATATGTATCTTCATGCATGTAAGAGTATTTTGGTGAGTCAAATTCTAAATGGAATTGTGTGATTAAAGGATATGTGCATTTATGTCTAGATTAATATTGTCAAATTTCTCTTCTAAAATACTATATCAGTGTATCCACCTGCCAGCAGAGTGCTCTCAACACTAACTATAATCGATGTTTAAAATTTTTGGCCAATCGGGTAAGGAGAAAATGGTATCTTATTGTTTTAATTTGTGTTCCTTAGGTCACTAGTGATGTTGAATATAATTGCCTAGAGAATATATATGTATATAGCATAGACATAGAAGTTATTTCATTTTAAAGTAGTTTAAATTTATTTTTCAATGAGTAAATTCTAAGTTGTCTTTGTTTTATACTGTTCTCTGCATTAAGTTAGCCATTAAAAAAGTAGATCCTTAAGAGCTACCAATTATAATTTTCTTAGCAAGATTTTCTAATTTGCCAGCTATGTTTAATAGCATATTTTTTTACTTCTTTTTTCCAAAGAGCTCTTACAAATATAGTCTTATTTGCCTATGATAACAGAAAGGGTTCAGACATTATCATGAGCAGTTTTTTTAAATAAGAAGTATTTCAGTACAGAACAGTTAAGAATGATTTGTAAAAGGTTATATAATCAGCTCTGAATTAAATCTATAACCCATTCTGCTTAACGTCTTAATTTTGGTCTCTAATATATGTTAAACTCTTTATCTAAAATGGCCTTGAGGATTAATAACCCAGGGAATATAAGTTTTTACGATAGGGTTGGGCTATGGGCCGACTTCAGAGAAGGCAGCACCCTTTCCCCTAAATCAACCAAGATCTACCCCTGGGTTTTTTTGTAATTACATGCTGAAGGTTCTGGACACTAACTGATCTTTTTCCAACCTGCCCAGCTGGCATATAGCATTCCCTTGGAGCCCACTCAAACGTGGGCTCCACTGACTCCTTCTGAAGAAGCATAGTCTTTCCACCATGCCAGAAGCTCTTCATGAGGATTCACTTGGAAACACTCATTCTGGCCTCAGGTTACTGAAGCTATTCAACAAGTCCCATATGTGCTTTAAATCTGTCTGGAAACCTGGCCCTCCACAGAAAATACTGTTTCCCCGCAACCCTCTCACATGCTTGCTGTCACTCTTTCTTGACCCACATACCTCTGAATTAGGTTGATTAGGATCAACCTCTTTCTCACTTGCCATGGCTGCCTCTAAATCATTACTATTTCTTTATGTAGATATCTTTGGCTCATTTAAGGTTGGTACCCTCTGACAATACTGCCCTCCATCCCTCTTTATCATTTTCATCTTCTCAGCTGTTGGACTTCTTGCTCATTCACAGAGGATTTCTGAAGCTCTGGATTATCTATAGATGCCTTAACCTCTTATAAATTAAGGAAATCAAGAAATTTCCATTTTTACTTTATACATCCCTATAAGCTACACCACAGGTCTCTGTAATGTCGGAGTAACAGTTATATGTGCAAAGATAATTTATAATGAAAACTGGTGAGTCGTATTCATATTCTTGCTGTAATAATGAATATAAATTTTCTCTTTCCTGAACTCTACTTGAAAAATGCCTCATTTGTTAAGTACTGTATGTATTTGGTTGAAATTCCAGAGTTTTACAATGTAAAGGCTGGAAAGATGGCTCAAGGCCTACTAAAGTCCAACTTGCATCATGGGTACCTTCCAAAGGCAGACAAGGCATATATGAAGAATCAGTAGATTAAAGAAGGAATCAGAGATGACCCCAGACAAAATAAACTCACTATAGGAAATAGGAAACTTAGGAAACTTGAGAAAATTTTAATTCATTCTTCACGATGCAAACAGAGAAGATAGAGGAGAAGCAATCCAAAGCAAAATGATCAAAAGAGAGTCTGATCAAAAGAGTACCCACTGAACATGAAGGAGAAAAAAGACCCACATCTTAGACATATGCTGGTGAAATTTCTGAATGTCACACAAAAATTATACAAACATCCAGACAGAAAAAACATGTTATGCGTGCGCACACACACACACACACACAATCAAGTTTGCATCAAACTTCTCCTCTGCAATACTAAATGCCAGAAGGCAGGGGAGAAATCTCTAGAGGCTAGAGCACCTGAGAAAAATAGATGACACAGCCACGCTGTTGTTCATTTGTGAATTTATTGGAAAAGTCAGAGAATAAAATAAGCGGCAGTGAACAGTGAAACCAAGAAAGCCTGATGTACATGCCTGAATACTTCTCGTTAATCTCTCTTGTAAATTAATATGAATTTTAGAAAAAAAATTTTTTTAAACATCCAATTTAAGACCTATAATAATGCAGACCATAGATAATTCCAATAAAATAAAAGGATTTTTTTAATTACAAAAAGAAAAAGCCATATAATGTCTAGATTTCTAACTTAAAATGAGGCAAAGAAAACTTAAGCGATATAACAAATGATAGAGGGAAAAATGGAAACAGCAAGAGTGTAATGTTTTTAAAAAAGTATGAGGGAAAAAATAGGACCAAACATATCAAGTGTCACAATAAATAAATGTATCGAATTAAATGCTTTTATTAGAAAACAAAGACACCAGTGTCAGAAATCATAAAGGAAAAGGGAGAATAGATGTAATTTAAAAAAAAGTTTGTTCATCTAGAGACCATTAATAAAATTAAATGACAAACCACGACTTGGAAAAGACTTTTATAAACTATGTGATAGGTTAATTATCTATAATACATAAAAAACCCTTACAAATTAAAAGGAAGAAAGAAATGCCTCAGTATAATCCTCTTAGAGAAGTTATTCTGAGAAAGTACATTTGGATAATCTTTCTGGAGTTCAGTTATGGATTTTTGCAAAGATATAGCTGCAAGAATGTTCATCTCAGAGCTGTTTATAATAATAAAACTTCGAGGCATCCCAAATACTTGATGTTGCAGCTGCTTTAAGTAGTTTACATATGATTCACATAATGGAATACCGTTCAGCCATTTAAAAAGTGATATAGAGACTACGACCATTCCACCCTGAACACGTCCGATCTTGTCTGATCTCGAAAGCTAAGCAGGGTCGGGCCTGGTTAGTACTTGAATGGGAGACCACCTAGGAATACCAGGTGCTGTAGGCGTAAAAATAAATGAATAAAATTAAAAAATGATACAGAAATGAATATTGAATATGAAGATACTAGTTACTAGTTCATTAAATGAAATGCATAAATTACTAAATAGCATATGAAGTATAATCCTGTTTTCATGTAAATATACATATTTCTATATGAATATAGATTTGCATAGAAAAAAATTTAGAATGAAGTATTCCAGAATATTTACCATAGTTATGGTTACTATAAATAAGAAAGGCAAGAGGGAAAGGCGAGTAAAGAAGCTGGAGTCATTATTATTGTTTAAGCATTGTGGACAAAAGGAATCAAGTAAGCTTGAGAAAACTGAAGAATGGTATATAAACTTTGAGAATGGTGTGGAATACTTTTGTTTTTAATCAGTGGTCAAGCTTTTGAAGTTTTTTTTAATTCCACAATTTAACTATAAAAATGCGATCAGATTATCTGATCAAGTATTCTTTTCCATGTATTTTGAACAACTGAAAAAACATTACTGAGTATAGACCTCAGTTGGATATAAAATAGGTACATTGTGTGTAGTAGATGCTCATTGATGTTTCTGAAATTTTTTCTACAAAGTACATGGCCACAAGCAGCTATATCCTAACAAAAATCTATATTTTTGATTTGTCCTTTTCTTTTGAATTTTTTTCCCCTCATTCTCTTATCAACAGGTCACTTAAACTGCGAGTTTTTGCTTTCTCTTAAGTTTGGCCATATCCAAGCATTGACTGTTCTGCAATAGATTTCACTTATTTCAGCTACCGTATTGATTCCAGTTTCCCCATGACT